CAAGGCTCCATCCACAGGGGATGCTCAGCTCCCATCACATCTCCTGCATTCCCTCGTCCTTGCCATTGAGTTCAGAGTTTCATTTAGCTCTTGTAACTTTCTTGGTTCTCAGAAAGCCCCTGTGTCTCACTTCCATGTGAGAATGGAGTTTAAAATGGCTCCATAAATAGTTCATCATTCAAAATGATCTCAGAGAGGCACAGCAGCTCCAGCCCCCAGGCAGGGTTTGTTCTCTCACTGATGAGTGACTGATGCTCCCAGGGCTTCACACAGCCCCCAGCTCGCCCTGCACTGAGAGGGATGATGTCACCTAATCAGATGATGTCACCAGATAAAATAGACGAGTTTCCAATCATAAAACCTTTCCTCCAGGTGCACACATTGCTCAGAGCTTAGCCACTTTGATCATCTCTTCTAGGGATATATTCTCTCTCATTATAAAGCATTTTACATTCTTCTACTATGAAGATACTTCTTTAATAACTGGACTTTATTTTATTGTCTGTTCTGTGGAAGTAGAAATGAAAGTCACAATACAGAACTTCTTGTGATGGTAAGAGAGGAAATTTCCACTCCAGAGCCCTGCTGTGACCCCATGTTCATCTGAGGAACAGCCACGTTGAAGAGCACAGATGGAAATGAGCTGCTGCTCATGCTGCAGACAGCAGCCTGGAGGGGTTACAGACTGCTCAGAGGCCAAGGACACAAAGTATATTGCTCTTAATGCCCTAAGTAGCACTTTTAATATGTTGGGTAGCTTTTACACTGTGCAGGAAAGAAGTCTGGAGCACAGCAGCAGCTAGAGTCTGGAAAGTTAAATTCATGGCTGCTGCAGCCTTCTCCAGGCAGAGGGAAGAGGAGCAAGGGGCAAAAGCAGTGTGAAATGTGAGAGTAGGAAGCACTGGACTGACAAACACACTCACTGAAGGAGAAGCAAGGTGCTGGTTTTGGCAGGGATGGGGGAGGTAGAGTTGCATGGGTTTGTTGTGCTTGAAACATTTCTGGAGAGGTGACTGAAATATGCCTTGGAGCACAGCTCCCCTGAGTTCTCCCCTCAGGTGATGTGAGCTGTAACTGCACTGCCCCTCAGCTAAAGGATGCTGGAAGAGGAAGGATGTGCCTGTGTTTTGATCCCTCCCTTTTTCTTCCAGTGCATTTCAGACAGCTCTGCAGTCTCTCCACAAACCTGCACCTGTCTGCAGGATCTGTGCAGCTACAGCAACCTCCAGGTTTGCAGGCTGGTGAGTCACCAGCGAAGGGCTCTGGGGATGCACTTTCCCAGGTGAGCAGCAGAACTCACTGCAGACACAACGAAGCTGGTTCATGTCACATCTGTCATGGCCCTGACTCATCTGCAATTCAGATTTCTCCAGGCTGGCCTGGTGGCTCCAGTCTGCCTCTCTTCCATGCTGGGCTGGGAGCCATAATTGTCACATGTAAAATCACACTCCTCTCTCCCATTCTCCTTTGAAAATATTTCATTGCTTTAACAGAACATAGAAAATTCTGAGCTGCTTTGAAGTACGCATTTTTTGTCAAAAGGCTCCTCTGGGGAAGGGTGACTGACTTTGCCTCCTGCTATCACGGAGCTCCTCTTCCTTCCCTCTGCTCCAGCCAGGCCTTTGGAAGGCTGGTGGACTCCACTTTTTTGGGCCCCAGGGTTAATCCAGCCCTCACAAATAGAGTTCAAATACTTTTTTTTTCTGGCAGACATTTCTCCATCTTCTCTCACAAAGTCTGGAAGGGACTGTATGATAGAGTTATTGTCAATAAAAAGCTGTGAGTTTATCATCAAATCCCAAAAGCCATGAAAATGGTGAGGATGTCCATTTGCTTATTAAGATGTTTGCAGCATCTGTAAGGAGAGAATTCCTGTCACAAGAAAGGGTTGTGTAATTGCCCACAACACTCCAAGTTAAATGGAATTAACTGAGGATCTGTCCTATAAAGACAGGGGCGGGAAACTTCTGTTCCCTCTCTTTGATAGAGCTGCCTCATTTAAAAGTTCTTTGGTTGACATACTAATAAAATTTGGCCTCTTAAGCTTAAAATCTCTTACTCTTTTTGGTGTAGCTTGCTACAAGAACAAACCCACTCTGAGCTGTGTCTGATCTGGAGTACTCCCTGTTACTGATGCTTCCTCTCTGGCAGACCCAGCATGGTCTCCTTCAAACAAAACACTGCTCAAGGACTGTTTTTGGAAGGAGAAAAATCTACCCTCTTGGTGAAGGTGGGAGTATTTTCCCAAGCATCCCTCACTCTTCACACTTGCATGCATACATCCTGTGCAGGTTAAAATTCCCTTTGAAGAGCTCATCTCCTGAGGGCTCAGCCCTCCAGGGAAAGCTCCTCTATCCCACTGAGGAAGCTTCTCAACCATGCCCATCCCTTGGGAGGAGCCTCTTGAGCTTCACAAAAAGAAGGTAAGAGCCAAATTCTGCTGGGGGGAGTTTGGGGATAAAACAAGCAGCACCAGCCCCTTGTGGAACAATGGATTTTCTGACTAAATACAAAGATCATTTCTCTTCTTGAGGGTAGCTAAATACAGAAACCAAATGACCACAGAGGTTGTGGCATCTCCATCCTTTGAGATACTGGGCACTTAAGCTCCAGAGGTCTTCCAGATTTCTGTATTCCTGGAAATCTGTTCCACAATTCTACTTGATGACTCACAGCAAAGAAAGCTGCACAGCAGCAAGTGGAGACTACGTGTGCTTGACTTCCAACATCTCCCTAATTGATGGAATGTCTTTGCTATTAGACATGTTCTACATTTACCTTTAAATATTTACTTTATCAAACAGGTTTCTATAGAACACAAGTTTTGTAGTTTGTATTATGAATCTTTTGTGACAACATGAAAAGGTACTTTTTTTCCCCCCTGATACAGAGGACAGGAGCAAATGGACACTTAAGTATTACAGCCTTCCACTAAGGCAAAAGCATGTTCGTAACAGCAATGCTGAAGCAGAATACTCCATCAAACCCTTTCTCTGTCACTAATCACACACACAGGAACATCTGTGCAAGCCAGTTGGCTCTGGACAGCTCCCATGGTTCTTGAAAGACTGTTTCTTGGCAGGTTGTGTTTTTCACTCTAATTGAAAGGTTAATCAAATCAGTCATACTTGTATGTTGGCTAAATAAACACACTGTCTCCACTGATGATGAAACAGATGCATTACCACTCATGTTTCCCATGGGGTTCATTTGTTCCATGATCACATTTGGTTTTCCTCAAGCTTCTCTATGCAGTATCTGACAGCACTTTGGATAGTTTTTGTAAGGACATTTACCTTGCAGATGCTATTGCACTCACATGTCTTAACAGTTTTTGGCAAAGGAATTACATATCCTCAACACTGCTTCACAGTGGAAAATGTGGAGCAAGCCAATCCTGCAAAAGGGTGGGAACTCCTCGTGAGCATAAATGCACTATGGAGTGGAGCAGTCTATGCTGCTGAGGCTGAAAGCACCAACACATCCAAACCTGTTTTCCCTCTGCCTCTCCCTCAGCGAGGCTCTCATCTTGCACCAAGCTCCTGGAGCAGGTCTCTTGAGCTTCCAGGACTCACTGGGGCAATGCCACGTGCCCTGAGTCTGCTTTTGTGCACAGCTGAGCTGACTCCTGACACGTGTGTATCTCTCTGAAAGCAGCATTTACACTTGGTAGGACAACACATCGTTGGGAAGGCGGGCAGAAGACCTGCCGAATGCATGACAGGTACACAACATACATTCAAGTTCTGTGAACCACAGAACTGCCAAGCACTCAAAAGCTGCAACAACTGATCATTGTTTTAAAGGAAAAGGCACTCAAAAAAATCTTCCTGCCACTTGGTAACAAGTACAATGAAGAAAATCTCCTCATTCAAAGAGATTAACACAGATTTAGATTATTTTCAGTATTACATTCTTAAGTGGGAGAAAAGGTGCATTTATTTCTCCAGTAAAAAAGTATTCATGCAATGTATTCCAACATTCTTTAGGGTGGGATTACCTTTATTTATTTTCTGTGTTCTGAAAGATTAACTAAACTAATTTGTTGACCTATTGAGAGATGTGTCTCTGCAGGGCTCTTTGAGTCAGGTTTCAGAGATGTTCTGTCCCTCCACTGACAGGAAGACCAGACTTGCCAGGTCCACGTTTGAACAATTTAAGTTATTTTACCACAACTCATCAACTAACAATTAACTCCCACTGCAGTCCCTCCTTCTTTTTTTTACTATTTTTAAACATTAAAGCATAAAATCATATAATCAATTTCCAACCTTAGGTCTCCACATTATAGATCTTCTCTTCTCCTGTCTCATAATGGAGAAAGGAAGCTGTAACATCACACTAAGAATAAACACAGAACCCTGACAGAAGTAAATGGCATTCAAAGGTACCATTTCCTCCCATCCTTACCACACCTTTTTAACCTTTCATTCATTTAAAATCATCCTGACCAAAGTGCAACATTCTCATTTATCCCACTTTGCCACATTACCAAAAGACATGCTGGCAGAAATGTTACCACTCCTGTGATCCTCAGGTCGCTCCCAAAAGAAAAGCCAAGCACAGAAGCAGGTCAGGACACGAATACAGCTGAGGAACCAGAGCCAGCAATAAAAGGCAACAGGCACACAGTGACCTCTGTGGGACCTCACTCATCTTGACATTTACTACCACTGTGCTCTTACAGCAGCAATTTGTCATTCACTTAAGCACTTTGTTCAACTAAGGCAGCAGAATCAGTAAATCCAAGCACCAGCTGGATTTACACTTTAAGCCAAAGCACAAAAGAGATTTGAAATCAGTAACTGTCCTGATGGGGGAGTGCAGATACTCACTTGTCTGTACAGCATCAGAGCTGAATTGTCTTGCTGATCAGAAAGAAAAGAAAAGCTTTTAGGATCACTTTTTCATCTGCTGGAATCTAAACTGGTAAAAATGGTCAAATCAGATTATTAGAACTGTGTGTGTTTTAGAAAATACAACTGAATATAGATTCGGGAGACTGTTTTTTTAGTATTTATTTAGTAAAACTCACTATACAAACAAAAAGTTATCACAACAGTGGAATATGCAGGGTTATAGTTTCTCCTTCAAACTGCTTCTCTGCTTCAGTAAAAACACATATATACATTTACAACAACTTCCCTTTAAAGCACTGGGATTCATATATTAAAACATACCTGGTAAAATAAGTTTAAAATAATTTCACATTGCTTGGAAAAAGATTTGAGTAATTTACTCTTACCAGAGTGCTATTGTTGCACAGTATTCAAAAAAATGAACGACCACTAAAATATAGAGTAAAACATTTAAAAGTACATTTATTTCAAATGTGGGCAAAATATCAATATAAAAGAAAATAGAGTATAAGAAATAAAAATAAAGTACAAAACATTTTCATCTTCAACATCCATAATTTAATAGATAGCAAGCCCTTTTATTTTTACATCCAAATTACACTTTTGGCTGAAGTACCATAATTTATTTTAAAATGCTTAAAAATGGGCTCATCATGATACCTAAAGTGGGCTCTTTTAAAATGCTAGTATAATACAAAACATAGTAAATTATGTTTCAGCATAATAAAATTACACATCCTAAAAAAGATGCAGTTTATTTTTGCTTTCCTGCTTTAAACTGCTCATCATCCCTAGGAAAACAGCTGGAAAACAGCATCCACAGGAAGTTCTAGTTGCTTTGTACAATGGCTGAATAGCAAGATATAATGCTCCAAGGATTCCGGAGCAGTAAGGCATTTTACTATCCATCAAGTAAATTTATATGTAAGCTTGTTAAGAAAGAACAACTGTAAGAAATGTCAGCAAAATACGAGTTCTATAAAAAAAAAATGCATAAAGACACAAAGGCCTCACTGGTCCCTCCCCTGCATTTATCAAACAGGATCTATAACCTTCAGTAAAATGTTGTTTTCATCATCTGAAAGTAACTTGTGTCACATATTTCCCTTAGAGGCAACTTCTTTTCCCATTGCCTAATATTCTGTTTACTAATTTATTCTACTATTTACTACTCCTTTGCATCCACCCTGCCTTCTTACTCCCTTGAAGTATTTCCCATCAAAAAGTAATTCCATGTTGAATTTAAGCTACTTTCTTGGGTGTTAAACTACCCTCCTAGTAAGTAAACATTACATATCCTAAAAAATTACAATTAATTAGTTCCTAAACTTTTAGTAAGCCATACTCCCCTAAGCAGCAGAATGTCTTTGCACAAAAAGGATATGATTCATAATCCAGTGTTTGAGTAAGCACTCCAGTCAGGACAAACTCAGCATTGTGGACATCTGGAAATATAAAAATTCATACAGTTCACACCCTACAGAGAAATTCTGCCTCTTTCTGCAGGTGTCAGGAGGGGCTGTTCCAGGCCTTTGCTTTGTGTCACCACCGTCAGAGCCTTACCATCAGCCCTCACACCTGACACTGTTACAAATACAGCACTTCCTGGGGCTCTACACTAAAATAAAAGTAAAAGTAAAAAGCAAGTGAAAACCTCTAACTCACTTGATGAATACTGAGATGGTAACCTGGTTTCAGCTAATTTTCTTCCTAGTAACTGGTACGGGGCTGTGCTTTGAATTTAAGATGAGAATAGTATTGGTAACATACTGATGTTGCTAAATTAAAAAATGTATGGTGATCTGCCTAAAAATTAACTGTTAGATATATCCAGCAAACAGCTGGCTTGGATTTCTTCATGGTTTGCAGGACAGTCCATGTATTCCTCTATCCAAGTAGCAGCTATACTGTTCAATTGCAACAGAAGCTTATACATACCTATGCCTCGTGCAAAATATTCCCTACACAAATGAAGGTCATTTTCACAGGAAATCAAGATTATTTCCGGCAAACTCTAAAAGAAAATAAGTAATGGTAAGCTTAGAAGAACATGGTAAGGTATTATAAATAAATTTTAGAAAGTAATACTCAACACACTTTATTCTGCTTATGCTCCATGAGTTTTCGAAAGGAAGGTTGTTTAGATAATACTTTTCCTCCTGCACACTCCACAATAGCTTTCATGGTGGAAAGACTGGGACAAATTCCGGGTGTAATGTAAAAATATTTTCCCTAAAATGAGAAAAGGAAGAACAAGCATTATTATGTTAACTGATTTCTGCAACACAAAGTTCTGATGTCATGTGACACTTCCTCTATACAACAGGGCAGGCTTTGTAAACTGAGGTTGGGCTTATGGATACAGAATTATCAGTTGATGAGTTGTCCTTAAAATCCTGTTGATGTTTCCCCTGGAGGGGACGAATCCACAATTTGTATAAATATGAACAGTCCAGGTGTGCCTATTTCCACACCTGTAAAGCAACAACTGCAGCTTGGCAAGACACCTAAGAACAATGCTCCTTGCCTCTTTGAGCACAGGGACATCTCAAATGTTAAAAAAGAACTTTTACTTTTTAATTAACACCCAATTTATTACTTCCTGACAAAAATTATTCTGCTACTTGACTGAGATAGGTGATCAGATCACCAAGTAGATTATTTATCAGCTGGGAATAAAAACCAGAAAACACTTTGCTATTTAATCTGCAAAACTGAGAGCAAAATGTAGCATTTAGAGATAATAGAAGACATAGATTCTTATTCATTAGAGGTTGAAAAAATACCTGTTTTAGATGGTTTACCTCCATAAACAGTCTGTAATTCAATTAGGCAGAAGAATCTTTAGCAACTCAGATCTCCAGATACCTCTCTGCACTGAAATGCAATTTTAACCAGAGGCACGAAAACATCTTGCACCATCCTAGCAAACAGCCTGGTGTAAAGTGCAGTCTCCAGGGAGATTCACACTAAAACTCCCTGAGACTGAAGGGCAAACTCACTCTCAGACTCCTATTTTTATGGGCAAGTGCTCTGACTATGAAGCTGGTGTAAAAAAAGGAAAGAGAAAATAAAGAAAATAGTGTCCCTGCCATAAGTGGCTTTTTCCAAGTAACAAAGCAATGTTCTAAATTTTGGAAGGGAACAAATATACTGAGACTGTTTGGTTAACATCTACAGGATCCAGTCATTCAGAGGGTTTACATCCACCCCAGTGATGCTGAGGCACAAAACAGGCATAAAGTCAAAACGAAAATTTACAACAAATGTTTCATGTTATATGCCAGCCTGCTCTACTGCTTTCAGCTATAAAATCTGTGGTCCCAGTGCTGGAAAAATCAGCTTGAAAAAATCTCCCAAGTATTTAAATGCCATGGTAAACTGCCTACCTTGAATAGTGGAGCTACTTGGGCTCTCTTTAGAGACTCCTCTAAACTAAAGCAGAAAAGCACCTCAGCTTCAGCATCTCTGAGCACAAAGTTCTGCTCGTCTGAAAAAGAAAGATTGATGATGTGGCACACAAAACACAAACATTCCCATGGCACAGGATGAAATCTGAGCAGAACATCTTGGTGGCAGAGTGGCTCTGAATGGCAGACACCTACTAGAATTTAACATCATTACAATATCCCTCTTCATTAGGCTTCTTACAAAGATGACTATCAAATACTTGGAGAATTAAACTATGTTTTACACTTGCATACCTAACAACAATCACTGTCCTATCAAGTCCCTTTTTCTAACTTATTGGATGTACTTGCAAATTTTTATTTTTTGATTCTCTGTAAAGGAGAATAATCAAGCAGAAGGATTAAGTTTAAACTCAAAGTACTGTGACCACCTATGGGAGCCCAGAAACCATTTTCAAGTCCTTACACAGCTGCAACAAAAAGAACTTTCCATCTGTTTCATTTGTCTTGTTATTCACTCAATTTTTAGTTTTTTATTAGGGATGGAATTTCAGTCTTTATCTTTCCAAAAAAGCTATGTCAAACACATTTCTAAATCAAATTTAATCCAAAACCCCCAAGTCTAAAAACCAAAATCAAAAAATTATACAGAGAACAAATTGGTCTCTCCAAGGACAATTCTGACAACTTGCAAGAGACAGTGTTAATACTCTTTCAAAAGACAAAAGAAACAATTAAGACCATTTTTTGTAAACAACTGCCGTTTTTTCCATCATTATAGCAGGTACAAAACTGGAACCAGCCCATTAGCTACAAATTAACCTAATTTCAGTGAATAAGTAAAGTACTTCAAGTACTAGATCACAACAGTCCTCCTAAATCCCCTGACTTTCTTCATCTTTTAAGCATTTTCAAATTAATCAGTTTCTCAGTTCACTGGCTGAAGTAAGCAAATTGCCCTCTAGAGATTTATAAAAATGTTTGCTGGTTTATTAGTTAATTATCCATAGATTCAAGTCTTTACAGTGGTTAGCCAGCAATGTTAAGATTTATAAAAATGTTTGCTGGTTTATTAGTTAATTATCCATAGATTCAAGTCTTTACAGTGGTTAGCCAGCAATGTTATACATTTTCTTCTTACTAACCAATTATATAAAAAGCACAAGACAATCATGAACCAAATAATCACACTTTCAGAAAGGGTGAATTAAAAAATAATGCAACTACAGGTAAAAATCTACAAAATGGCTACAGAAGAATGAAATACAATACTTAACGCTATCCAATCATTTAATCATCCTAAAGCAAACTTTGTGTTTTTCTTTCATTTAAGGGGAAGAAACTGTATTAAATGAAAAAGACTGCTGTAGAATTAAAATTTCTGCTTTCAAAAGCTGAAATCTTTATAAAACTGGGAAGAAACACTCAAGTCAGAAGACAAAACAACAAAGTGTATTTAAATATGCTTGTCAATGAACCTTTATTTTACTATAGGAATTGATACTAATTTAACTCACCAACAAATTTCTGGCATTTGAAGCACTCTTCTAACCACTCTGGAGTCACTATGTGCTTGACTACAGAAATTGCAGTCAGGAACTTGACAGTTCGGGTCACTTTACTGGCAATTAGATGGGTACATTTCTGGGCAGAGTCTGCTACTTCACCTCCAAGGATATACAGTTTCTGAAAGTTGTACAGAACACAAACCAGAATGGAATAGTCTTTTAAAAATGGAGGTAAAAAAGAAACTAAATACTGTATCTATCACATCAAATAAAACTAAGGTGCTAATGAAATAGTAAATGTAGATTTCTGTGATTCTTTTACTTAAGTTGATTAATTTTGTCAGAATTTACAGCCATTGAAAATACAGGTATTTCCACACATAAATACCATCTGATTTAAAAACAAATGTGGAAAGGGCTTTCTTGCTTTTTAGAGCAGTCCCACAGAAAGAAAAAGCAAAGTAGCACAGTAGCATAAAGTAGTTAACTAAAGGAGAATAGCTACCAAATAAAACTCATTTCACATAAACTTACGCTAACCCCAGGGCCAGTAAATACTGGTTTTTATCCACTAGATATATATGTTAATCAAGTCTTAGCAAAAATTCAACATCCGTAAGAAAGCTGTCAGATGTTTTCAATGTTTTTCACAAGAGATGAGCCTGAAAGTCACCTTAATGTACTGTTGCACTTGCATAGGTTCAAATCCTGTGAAGAGCACCATTGGTGTCAGCTCAGGGGTGAGTTTTTTAGTAGGTGGCGGCAGGTCTTCAATCCTACAGAACAGGAAATACAGCAGAATGTGACATTTGGGCCCAAGGCTGTAGAACAGTAATTTTGAAATTGGACATGCACACTTTTGCAAGTTTCACCAATGGAATGATCCAGATGAATGAGAATTAGGCACAACTTTTTCTGAAGAAAAAAATCACCATGCAGAGAACACAACATATTCTCCTCTTTCTGTACTCTCCCATATCTCTTAGTACTTCACTCTCTTAGTTACTGTTTTATTCCTGCCAACTGAGTAACTGGCAACATCCAAAACCCACTGACAGTTACTTCACTGAGCAGGGCACAGGATGGTGCAGGCTGATGGGCAGCTGACACTTCTGAAGAACAGTCAGTTAAGGACTACAGGCATTGACTGCCTGCTGTTCTTACCTTGCTCTTTTGGAAGACGGCTGAAGACTGGATTCATTTTGCTTTGGTTTCAAAGGCAACCTCACACCCTGAAATCAGACCAGTTACATGTTTAGATCTGAATTAAGCAAGGAAACCAACTTCTATCCAGAATTAATCACAAATGAAAATTACATGCTGCTTTATACATGGGGCACCTACTATTTACACAACAAACCAAAGAGCAAAGCTGAGCATCAGCCAAAGCTTCTCCACAAACTTATGTAACCCTGAAAGTGCACACCAAATAAAAGACTGTGGGACTTTTTTCCTTTAAATAACACTGCTAATTATCAATGGAAAAATCAATTCATTAAATGAGAAAGAGACTGTCCGTTTTTTAAGTACATGAAGACTACAATAAATTTAGCACTTCCTGGTGCTAAATTCCATGGAATGGCAATATCCCAGAAAATACCGGTTTAAGCTTAAGTTCCTTAACTACATAAATAGAAGCTGGATAGGAAGTGCCACCTGCCCAGTACCAGATCAGCCTCTAGAGGATGTGCCCAGGGGTGATTAAATGCAGCTTTTAGGCTCTCCTTGGTGTGAGTAAATTTGAAACCACAGCTCCCAGGTTCAGAAGTGTGTGGCATCTATTTCTTTTTAACCTTCAAATCAATACCTGAAATTTAATGAAGAATCCTAGAGGCACATAACCAGAAAGACAGGCAGCATTGTCCCAGCCTTGCTGTGAGAATGTTCCTTTGGGAGGAACAAGCCTCCCAAAGCAGAGGTTTGCTCCCTGCTCTCAGAGCAGACATTTTTATGCTAGACAGCCCATAGTATGAGCAGCTGGGAAGAAAAGTGCACACATTCACATTTTGATAGACATTTGAACTATGAAAATGCAAGAGGTAGATGGCATCACCAGCATCTGAAAAGACAGCTTTTCTCAGAAGAGGACCCCAAACCCCAAGACAAAGAGAAATGCCTACTGTGAAGGCAGTGAAGTGCCTCGTCCTCCCTGACACTTCCACATGCCCAGATTTTCCATTACCAAACCATACTCCTGTGTGGGCACCTGAAGGGCAGCTGCACTAGATTGTCTCCAGAAGCCCTTCACAAAATTCCCACTTCACACGGGCAAGAAGGGTCCCCATATAAATACAGGTGGGGAGGTACTAAATTACCCATCCAATCCCTGAGGTGTCCGCTTGCTACATTTGCTACACAAGACAAAACATGGACAAAAACCTGGTGTGACTGACCCACACAAAGAACACATCCAGTTTTAAGATGAGCTCAACTGCAGTGTGGATGCAAAGGGTGGTGATAAGACCAAACTGGGTTAGTTAAAAGCTATTTTAAATACTAACACTGCATACTGAATCTTCTTTAAAAGTTTTATATTTCATAAAAGCAAAATATTTTCCTTCTTCAGGGAAATATGAAGACCACGGATTTTTAAAAGCACTTAGCTTTCTAAATGTGAGTTTCCTACAGGCCCATGAAACAAATCCACAAGGGCCTATAAGAAGATTGCTTCAAACTTATGGTCAGGAAAACAATAGTGCCTATTTCTAGAACTGAAAGGTATTCAAGTGACAGTGCCCTGAATCCCCCTTTAAAACAATGCTACAAATTACATTTTGAGAGTTACTAAGCACCTCTTTTCTGAAGGGTTTACAAAGGGATGGAGATACAAGTGATCCAAACACAAGAGGTGTGGCAAAATGTTTTTGCATAATATAAAATATTATCTGAGAGTCACCTGTAGTACAAATTTACCTACAAGACATACTGTGAAAAATTATTAAGTATAAATCTGAAATGGAAGAAAATTTATAGTACAAGAACATGAGACAGGTGTAAGAGCTGACATGGAAACTGAAGCTTATTCTGAATACACAGAGAACTTGTATTTTGCACAGTTTGCAGAATACCCTTCATGAAAAAAATTTACTTCTCTTGTATGTTTTTCAAAGTATTATTTTTCATTGTTCATTCCTGCTGACATTTCAGGGTTATCAACTACACTTTTTAATGCATGGTATATTTTTAAATTCTAAAATACATGGTATGTATATCCATGGTTTTAGTTCTTAGTATCCATCAGAGAGATGATATGAAGCAGTTCCACCCTTAACTTACACTATGTTTCGTACTTAAAATTCAGTCAATAGTCTAACAAAATCCTTACTGATTTTGGGTGTTCTGTCTTAAAAATCCTTATGTGGTTTCATTTATAGAATGTTAGGCACTGATTTAAAAAAAGTATTAAGCCCTTTCTAAAGGTCTGATGTAGAAACTGAAGAGTGAAACATCTAGGCCAAAGCGTGTCACAACAGCAACTTCATTCTGTATATCTCACTAAAATTCCTTAATTCTGTGAAAGATTGTTTCTCAGATTTCTCAAAATAAAACAGAGCATTAGCAAAAAGCACAACTAGGAGCTTCAGCACAGGCAAGGAGTGAACTTATCAAAATAGCTGTATATATAAAGTAATTCAACATACCATTAGAAGTTCTGGTGACACCTTTAATGGGACTCTCCAAGCATCTAGGGAATGGAGAACAGAACAAAAATGACACCACTGACGAGTTATTTACACCAGAGGAAACACGCTCCTACTGATGAAACAGACACATAAAAAGCTGCAGAACAGAGGGGTTTGTGACTCTTACCCAGCAGGTTCAGCACTAGGTGCTGGCTGGGAGAGAGCGGGTCCTGGAGGTTGAAGACGGTGTAGCGGCTGTGCTGGATCTGCCGCAGCGCCTCAAAGTTCCCCAGCAGGATGTCACAGAGCCACTGCGCGTTCACGCACGGGATCCGCCACTCCTTGGCCTTCTCGTACTTCAACCCACTGGCCCTTGGTGGGCAGAAAAGAAAAAAAAAATCATTTGTATTGCAAAGAAAACAGTAAAAATAGCAATTTCTAATAATAAACCTAAAACACCAGTACTTCTTTACTGGTCTATTGTTTGTTTCAAATGTGACAGCGGAGATACTCAAAAAAATGCTTTTGTTCTACATATCAGAACAAGCAAGTCAGGGGAGAATTTCTGCTGTAAATGGAATCTTTAGACCTGAATTTAAATTCTACCTCCTCCAACATTTCAGGACTATTATTAAAAAATGGTATTTTACTTACAGATGATCTAAGGGTCAGCATCACTTAAGACTATAAAATATGAAAATTAGAAATTACTTTTGTTTTGCCTGTATTCAGAAGGCCAAATTTATCACTTAGTATGTGCTGTAATTTAGTTCAAGCAACAACATCACTAAGTTTATTGTTTTTAAACTGCAGAACTGATTACAATTAACACTCCTAAAATGAGCCATATGTAGCACCTGACGTTCAGAGAGGCACTACCTGGCAAGAGGTTGCTGAGAAAGCAAGGACTGTGGGGTGCAGCACTTACTCTTTACAGATGAGAACTGTATTGCTGCGACACAGATAGCCCGTGTATTTGGCACCTGCTAGGTAGGCCATGAGCTTGAGGTCATCTCTGTCACTGTCAACAAATCCTGTCACAGAGATTATCTGCAGACAGAAAGACACAGTTATAAATAATTGAACATTGATGGCACTTACAAAGAACTCCTATGAAAAAACATTTTTCCATGACTAACTTTTTACGCTACAATGAAATGCACAGCAAAGCACAGAAGCAATTAAAGCGTGGCTTGTAGGATACAAAGAGTACAATTTAAAAGTGATCTGTTTATACATTAAAAATTCAGGTTTCTAGCACTAGCTCTGACTCAGGAAGAATCATTTTCATTCTTTTGGTCAGCTTTTTCTTATTTACAGAGATCACAGCATTATTATGGAAGAGCTTAGAGGTCATTTGCTTCTCAGAGATCTGCCATCTTCATTCTGCTGCTATTTACATAGAGGCACACACAAAAAAAATGCTTACACTTACTTGCTCTGTTCTAAAAATCTGAAAACTGTGCTCTACTCTGCCATGAAGCCAAATAATCTGCGCCAACTGATCACAGGTGGTAAACTGTAATTCCACATCTTCCATTATTGTCTTTAATCCTGACTGGTTTTTGGTTTTGCCTTTCTCACCTTTCCTTTAGGGAAGGGCAACAGTACTTCTGTTTAAAACTGTGTTTATTACACTGCATATTCCATTTAATACTAACCACTGAGTACACATGCATGTTGTTAGATTCTGATTTTCCCAAAACTGTACTTTGTTTTATGTCAGTCAGGACAGCCTATCAGCAAGGCCATCATCCCATATGTCTGCATCCAGCACAAAGAAATCCAATGCCAAGACATACTTTGGCATCTTGGCATTCCAAGATGCCTCTGAATTAAGTTTTTCAATTCCACAAAATTCCACTTCCACAGCTTCCCATTGCACAGGCAAAGGAACTGTGACCTCCTATCCTCTGATTAGCAGCATAGGCTACCTTTTTATGTATTTGCTAAGCACTGACTAAGAAAAGCTCTCAAAAAGCCTGGGTTATGGTAAGGAAGCACATGCTGTTAGATGTGCTGTTGCTCTGCTCCTACAATCTTTGCCCCTTGGTGTCTGAGAGTAATTCACAAAGGCAGGTGTTATTCCTCACCACTCTGACCTCGGGAAGACTTGCAAAGCACTGAGAAACACCTGGCAGCAGCACCGCATCAACAGCACTTTAAGATTAGCAGGAGCTTTACTTCCAAGGCAAAAGAAATGTGTATATTGCTCTGAGTAAGCACTTTCTAGCTCTGTTTTAATACTGCTCATAGAATGAAGCAAGCAATGAAGTAAGCATTCTTTTCAAGTAAGCTTCTCCTTCTTACATGTTGAGAGCATGGCTTTCCTCCTGGTGGAAATGCCACTGGAAAATGAAGGGCTCGATGAGGTGGGACCATCTTCTTCTTCTTCAAGATTGCATTCAGCCAGTGTGCTGTAATACATCTCTTCCTTTCTCTTAAAGCCTAGGAATACAGGCACAAACAGCTTTTAAAACACAAAATACAGGTTTATTTTACTTTACACTTTTGCTACAAATCAAACCTTTGATTTTAATTGTTTTTCGCTACTTTTTAGACTCCTCTTTCTCACAGCATCTTCCTTAGTGCTCTCTGGAACAAGTCTACTACACACACTATCAAAGTTTGTACCCCAAAAAAACTCAAATTATAAAAAAACACATAATGAGGAACTTCGTATTTGCTATCTAAGCATGAAGCACACAGTGCAAAGCCCTGCCTTTCCAGGGATAAAATGGAAGCAGGCAGCAGTGCAGGTTCCCAGCTGGCTTACCTGAGCATACATGTTACTGACTTGGCTTTCACAGAGAAGGTGAGTACATCTGCTTGTGAGGGTAGGGTCCACTGTCCCACCATGTGCTTGGATGATCTGATAAGAGAGCAAACCCAGAACTTCTAGGATATAACAATTTTTATGTTACATTAAGAAACAAAAAGTCTGAAATGAAAGTCCACCCTTTAGGACACTGCCACCATTAGCACCACTTTACTGAAGAGTTACCCCCCAAAACCAGATTTGTTATCTAGCTTTAGAACAAGTTTGAAAACAAAAAAACAAAACTAAAAATGCAGCTTTTCACTGAACAAAAAACCTATTTTTTAGAAGAAATGGAAAAAAAAACCCAAAATAAAGATATATAAACAAAAATAACCCTTCTCATGTTTTTTTATTTTTCTGCAGTACAACTATTAAACAATTTTTCATGAACTATTCAATTCTATCTGAGCAATAAACACAAGTGCTGTTAAAAATGTCAACAGCTTACTTGATTATGCAAAATTGTAGGGAAAATTCAACTATAAAATCCATCAGAAGTTTCTGAAGAACATCAAAGTCCTCTTACTTAGGAAAGGATACAATCAGATTTTTCTGAAAAATAGAAGTTGGCAAAAAAATAGAAACACTCTATTCTTCCATCTTATTCACTCAGGTGGATACCTCACAGGCTACTAAATGCCAAAATTATATGCAAAAAAGAATGTTTTTATACAATGAAATTAAAGATAGACAGCGATGCTATATTACATTTGCTGTACTACAGCTGCCTGATTAAAAGTATAAATAACTGGGAAATAGTTAAGGCTGCAGCTTATTTAGCTCATGTTCTGACTGAAGACTTAATTCAACCAGGCTGCACACCTGAAGTATTTCTATTACTTTTTCTGGTCAGCAGCAGCTGAATAATTTTCTTTAGGTTGTAACAGAAGAATTACATAAAAGGATGCCTAAAGAAAAGTGAACAGTGCTGAAGTACTTCCAATGTTTTCTTTTAGAATTTAGGGACTATCACATTATATTATAGTTTTTTAGAAATACTGCAGAATCTTACCCGTTTCCAGGTTGCTAACAGCTGCTTGTCAGACATCTGTTCTGGGTAATCAGCAATTGCAAAGACACAGCCCAGTAGGAAATACTCTTCTGGAACTGAAATAGTTTGGCACATAAAGAACAAACAGTTAAATACTTAAAACTCTGAAGAGTTCATCTCAGAACGCATTTGCTACACAAACCTCTTCCTATTACCAGGTTATAAACTTCCTAAGTGCACCTCCTTGGAAAAAGTAGGATCCAGAATTTCAAAGCTGAAAGCCTTTAAGGCACAGTTCAGCCCAGAGTCTGATTTTGTTAAGGACAGTTTTATTTCCTGGGGCTAAAGAGGCAAAAGGAAGGGTCACCAAAAGGAAAACATAAGACAACTTCCTCTTTTACAAAGATCAGCTATGAACAGCCAAAACAACCAAAAAGCTTTCAATTCTACTAGAATTCAAAGCAAGGTGTGACAGCTTTCCAAGACTGAATCTTCAATAATTTAATAGTATTTCCAAAATTGTAGCTATCCTTCCAGCTCTTATACTGTTTAAAAGTTTCCCCCCCCCCTCTTTCACAGAAAAAAAAAAATTAAGAAGTTGTTCTGTGCATTTACTAACACTGTTCCACAATGTGTGCTTGTGGTATCAAGTGTAAATTTGAAAAGAGAATGTTCTCAGCACTCTTATGCTTTTCAGATTGCTGGATTAGCATTAGCTATTATTCAAGTATTTGCCTAAAAATCAGTAAAACCATTTCTGAGCCACGAGTGGCATTTCTTCCAATCCCATCCTGTAAACACAGCATTACTTTTTGATATTTTACCCCACTTCATATCATTAGCTACTTTTTTTCAGGATCAGAAGGCAATAATTACTAACTCTCCACTGCTGGATCGTGCCCAAAAAGCGGCTGCTGCTGCAGTTGCTGCTGTTGCTGCTGGTGGTGTTGTGGCTGCTGGGCTGCAACTGGAAGCTGTAGTGCTTGAGGTGTCTGAGTTAAGTGCTGCGCTGCCTGATTCTGCATTTGCTGTTGCTGATGCTGCTGGTGCAGTCGCTGTAAGTGCTGCTGCTGCAGTTGCTGCTGCTGATGTTGCAGCTGTTGCTGTTGCAGCTGTTGCAGGTTCTGCTGCTGCAGCTGTTGCAGCTGTTGCTGCTGCAGTTGTTGCAGCTGCTGTTGCAGCACATGCTGCTGCTGGAACTGGAGCGGCTGCGGAGGGCGGTGCAGCTGCTGCTGCGCGTGGAGCGGCTGCTGCGGGAACTGGAGCTGCTGCTGGGAGAACTGGTGCTGCTGATGGACTTGCTGCTGCTGCTGGGAGAACTGGTGAGGCTGCTGCTGTTGGAAAGACTGCTGGGAGATCTGGGGTTGCTGCTGCTGCTGCTGCTGCTGGAGCTGCATAAGTTGCTGAGGTTGAAGGTGTAAAAGAGGATGGTGCTGTTGCTGCTGTGCTTGATGTGACTGCTGCAATAAATGTGTCTCTGGTGTTAGTTTCACTTGACTAAACAGCACCACATTTGGATGTCCCTGTTGGCTATGATTTACTTGCTGTTCTAAACTTTTTGTAGGTGCTGAAAGTGATTGTAATATCTAGAAAACAAAGATTATTTTTGTGACCTTTTGGTTGTCATTCGGTTTTTAAAATATTTAAAGAACTACTGGGAAAATACAATTCCTAAAAGAAAAGAACCTTACACCTTAGCTACACCTTGTGAGCTAAACAAAAATCTTTAACTGCCTAATACCAAAATGAAAAGACAGGACTTACACAAAGAGAAGTGTGGAGCTGCATATGACTCCTAATAAACAGCAATGCACATTTTAGTTAAATTTAAGATTAAAGCCCGTCCCTGTATTATTAGTATTTTTTTCAACAGCATTATGACTATTAACACTATATTAATAATTACATTGATCAACTGCAATATTAATTTTAAAATCCCATTGGACCATTAAATTCAGAGCTTAGCTCCATAGCCCTACTTTCACTTAAAAATTGCTAATGATGTCTTCATTAATTAGTGCTGTTTGAAACACAGGACTCTTGTTCTCTTTTGAACCAATTCAGGAATATATAGCTTTTTTTTTTAATTTCAATACCAGAAAACAAAGGAAAACATTGATCTGCTGAGCACTAAGGGTTTCTTGGGAAAAAAAAGCCCAAAACAACTTAACCTCCCTACTTACGAACACTAGATTTTAGGTTTATATACAGTGAAGTAATCTGGAATTTAATTTTACTTTTACATGTATAACTCACTGCTGAAGAGAAAAATCATTTCACACTAAGCAGGTACAAGTTAGGAAGAGAATTTTTATGCATCAGAAGAGGGAAACTTAGGCAAAGCTCTAATAGATTGCTGTGAGTTCTACATGTTTATTAAAGTATTTTAATATAAACTACCTATTAGAAATGAGAAGGAGCAAAAGGAAATTCTAGGCTTGCCATTCATAAAGTCTCTTAAACATGAAATCAGCTTTGATGATTCCTGCAAAGCTTGTTTCCTTCACCCTCACTACTTTTAACAGTGTCACTTTCAGTGTGTGAGAGGAATCAAAGCCCATCACTAGAGCACAAAGCCAATTACTGTATCCTCTCAACCAGACATCCATCAACCCTCCATCAGAGGTGGCTCAAGTGTTTTCACAATGCACATCAGAACATCTCAGGTGTCATCTAAATAATTCTGATTTGGTTGGTATAGCAGACATGTGGCCATGATTATCAATGCATCACCCATCACTCATGTCTCAGCAGCACCACAGTAGAAACGTTCAATAACTAAAAATAACACACACAAAAAATGTTTCTGTGGCTCGGTGTGAGGAGCTACTCTCCACAACAAGTATCAAAACCCAAAATTACAGCAGCTTCAAGACGTGTATTTCAAAATAAAGGGATGAAACTTTTAAAAGCATTCTACAGCTATATTCAGAAAATAACTATGTACTTGCAAACACCTGATCATGACAGATCCTGCTTATTTGGCAGAAATCTGAGGTTCAAACTGAGCACTAACTTTCCAAGAATGCTCACTAAGACTTGCACTCATCATTCAGGGCACAAAGTAGAAGAGAAATTATAGGAGGAAAAGGTAGAAGAGGTACTCCTCCCTCTAGAAAGCAGATTCACAGTTCTAAGATGCAAAGCTTTCCTGCACATGCTGGAGCTGGCCCAGCAGCCTGAGAGGGAACTCCTGTACAGCCCTCACACATCACAACCCAGCCCCTCCTGCAGCAGACTTTGGGTGAGCAGAGACAAGCCAAAGCCACTGGTGCCCTGTAGCTGTGCAAACACTGCCGACAGAAATATTCCCACAGGGACACCACTGATGTGTATTTGACAGCACAGTGACTCGGCTGGAGACGATGTGGTGGCCAACTTACCCACACTGGCCAACTGAGCAAATGGTTGGCAGTTCTGCTCAGGCCTTGCCCAGAAGTCTCAGCCCGTAAATAATTCAAGGCACTGAGAAGAGGAATCTAAGACTCAGATTTAAAGTAAAGCCTGTATGTCCATTTCATATTTAGATGTCACATGAACAGCACAGAATCAACGCTTCTGAGTGACTCTACCTTCTGTGTTTAAGTACTGGCTGGAAGCCTCTATACCACTCAGGCAACTTTCCAAGTTTTACATCAGATGAACACCCAAAGAAAGGCACCAATGCACTTATTTAAGTAAAAGGTATGTCTACCATTTACTGGCACCTACTTTGCTCATGCTCCCTTCCCACAAACATCTAAGAATTTAAACGCTGCAGGTGCAGCATGCTCACTTGCTTTTTGTTTTCTTGTAGAAGTACATTCAACACAAGAGCTGCAATTATTTCAACTACACAAGTGGCATGAGAAAGCGTATGTTAGGACTTCTCCATCATAATATGTATACTATGTAACAACCTAATGATGCCCAGCAGAACAATGCAGTATAGAACTGAACCTACCACGGGAACAATCCATTTCACAATTTCATGTGCTTATGGCATAAATAGTTCCTTTCATTGACTGAGAAACTGGAAGGATAGGAAACCAGGTTTCCTGAACTAGCAAAATAATTCTAAATTAATGATTTTCCCTCCCTTACCAAGAAGTCCTTACTGAAAATTGAAACCACGCTGTAGTTATACATAGCTTTACTCTTCCAAACGTTTTTTCCCAAATGCATTCTGTGAACCTGCTAGAAATAAAGTTACCTATTACAGGGAAATTACAAATTTGGCCACAATTTTAAGTAATAAGGGGAAGTATTAACTCTGGGTATTTTAAGAACAGCAAAAGGAAACTGAAGTTCTTGGGCACTATAGTTCCTAAGAAAAAGTCCAATAGCTTATAAATTAAAAATCCAACACTTACATGTGCTACATTTGATGGTCTATTAATCTGCTGAATATCAGCATTATTAGTAATATTCCTTAACGTCCGCATGCCTGGACTCCACGTGGCCATCATTTCCTGGCGGTCAGAACTTTGGGCACCTTGTACTGAAGCCATGAGGTTGCCTCTCATATCAGGAGGCAAAATGTTACCTGGCACTGGTGGGACATTGGCACACAAATTAATCAACCCGGAGTCCTTCCCTTGAGGCAACCTACGCTTTGCTGCAGATGCCTGTGGGACTTCAGCTGGTGTCCAATTCAAATTCCTTTCTTGCTTTTCTGGAGAGGAATCGGAAGAATCATCGAACATCAGTTCCCCTTTTGCCTTATCAGCAGTAGTAGATTTTGGTGAAAAAGCTTGATCACCCAAAGGTGATCCCTCTCGAGAAGATGCTGGGCTTGATAATTTTTCATCAGTACTAGCCTCATTTTGTGAATCTTGCTCTTCATTTTCTGCTTCTTCCTCCTCTTCCTCCTCCTCCTCTTCTTCCTCCTCGTATATAATTAAACGAGGATGATAAGGAGTCTCTTCTTTTTTACTCTTATCAGCTATAGAATCCAGTACCCAGTCTGGGGTCACAATTTTAATGCTTTCCCGTTTATAAGCACATTCATATTTTTCCTGGGGAAAAAAAATAATATTTAAAGACAAAACAGTCACAAATAATTTCTTTGAGATGAGGGCTAGTGCATGGAGAGGGAGATTATAAGGAGGCTGTCCAATACCAGAGAGTGATCTTGCCCAGATCCAACAGGGCATATACTGTGCAGAACCACAAATTCCAAGAATTAAAACAAAAAAAACACCAATTCTCCACATTTACACTATAAAGGACTCAGAAGGCAGACTGCAGAAGACGAATATCTCCACTTGCAAAATTCTTCTCTAACCCAATCATCAAAATATTCCAACCCAGCAGCAAGGAACATCATGGTCAATACTAAAATGTACATGATTTTAAGAAGACATTAAGGCAAGTCTAAATACAGTTTATGTTTTATCCACTATAAAAAAAAAAGTAAAAAAAAAAAACCAGCCTCACTATGAAAAAGCATTTGAGGAAAAAGTCAGAATTTCATAATAAAGTAGAGACAAATATTTAAAAGTTGATTACTGAATAAAAGCATTTTATCAGGAATAGAGCTTAAATCTTAAACCTTCACAATTTTCTTTCCTAATAAATAGACACTGAATGAGAGTCCTATTTATTCAAATATCCTCCTTAATGGAAACCCCTCATATACATCAAGACAGTACAGAAAAAGAACAACTTTCTTTGAAACTTATTTCAGGATCTAGTATTTTGAAGTGATTGAGCTGGTATTTTCTTCTATGTCAAACAATATAAATTAACAACAAGCAAACTCAGAGAAAATTAATTCTAGTGATTCTCTGGAGTTATTTCCTACAATGAAACTGTCACTCATACACAATAAAGAGATTGGAGATGAAATCAAGTTTATTTGCCAACACAAGATTTTATTCTTCCATTCTGGTGAGAATTATTAATGATCTTGTTTTATCATCCCGTGTCTAGTCAGATCAATCATCTAAGTCTTCCTAGTGACAGAATAGTTCTCGTTACAAACTGCTGCCATTTCCCTTGTAGTGTATCAGAGCAGCAGGACTGGAAGAAAAAAGTAATAATCTCACAGAATTGCTCCCATTCAATGATTGTGTGCATTAAAGTATTTGTACCCTACAGACAGGGAATGCTAACACCTCTTTAAGTTTCTTGGCTCACAAGCTAAAGACAACATCCCTTGTTCTAAAAAGCTTATTATTCAAGCTTTTAAGTAAGTTATTAAAGTATGATCCTTAATGTATTTCATTGTCTCTTACAAACAGAATTTTAGGTAATAAAAGTTTATCCAAGCATTATACTCTATTGTGATGAAAGGGACAACTAGAAGGGCGTTCAATACACCCTTCTAAACAGTCCACAGAAGAAATATCAAGCACTTAATAAAAAGAAAAAAACCAAAACCAACACACACACACACATATTCACCAAAAAGAATCCAGCCCGACAGAGGTTCCTATATTTTAAAGAAGGAAAAGCATTCATTTCCCATAGCCACACTTTCTGTTCTCCCAGTGCCAGCCCATGTTTTATTCTTCAATATTTCAATTCTGCCCTTTGTTTTTCTTCACTGATTCCATATCTGTGGATTTATAAATCACAATCACTAATGACTGTGATATATCAAAATTAGGTCAAGACAAACAAGATAATGAATAAAATAATTTATTCAAATGGGGATTCAAATACCAGTGTGAAATTGGACATCTTTTGAATAAATCAGGCTTAAAGCCATGCAGAAAATAAGTACAAACTGAACAGCTGCAATGCCTAATTTTGCTGAATTTAGTTGTTAATGAACAGTCTTAAGAATTCTAACTTCAGGCAGATGGAAAATTTTTGACTATTTGAAAGCAAATGAGAGCTACAACAAGAAGAATTGTACATGTAATAAACTCTTACCCCCTTTGGCTCAGGCACAATCAAATGAGTACACTTCTTATTGAGGCTCAGCTGGCAATTCCCTCCATAAAAAGTAATCAAAGCCCACAGCGTACTTCGGTCTTCAGACGAAACCTAAAAGGAAGGTAAAAAAGCCTTTTGGTTCTGTGCACCCAGCTGTCATCAGCTGGAAGAATTTTAGTAATCCATAACATATCTTTTACAAGGCTGGCTGATGTATTACCTATCACTTTTAAACACTAAACTAGCAAAAAAATTTAGAGAGAAAAAAGGGTGTCAAAGACATGCAACAAGAAAAACTACTAAAGAGTAATTTTTAACCTGAACAGAGACAGAGAAAACAAAGGGGGAAAAAGTCATAGTACAACAGGAAAACTGGCATCTCTCCTCAAACATCCTGTATAAAATGGACATTGGAGTAGACTGAAATATGCTTCACTTCTTACCTGAGAGAGACAAGCAGTGACTCCAAAAAAGATTTGACATGATTCTGGAGAAAAGCCATTTACACTGGAAAGCAGGTGTCAAGGATGCAAAATAATTAGATGAGCTTCCTGAGGGACATTAGAAGGAAATTAAACAGCCTATGCAGTATGCTATGCTTCTCAGATAACACCAAATAGTTCAGCATTCAAAAACTTCCATGTTTGAAAGCACACTGTCTGTTTGCAATTAAAGTTTATGCATCAAGAAAAAAAACTTGATGTACAAACTGAATCAGGACACCTGCAATATTATTGGTAACACTCTAAACCAGAACTGACCTGGAAAAGACAGACAGATCATCAGACTTCTGCAACTTCCCCCCTTTTCCATACTTTGATATGATCTTGTGTTTAAGATCCATGCACCATGATCCATTTGTCAGAAAAAAAACTACTACAGAAACAGGTGTACTTTGTGTTACATGCAGACGCTGAGATTTTTTAAATGAAACAAAATTATTTTCCCCGTGATGTTGACAGATGCACCAGCAACCCTCATGTTTTGAGGCCCAGAAGAGGCAGCACACAGCAAGCCATAACAAAGCCAAGAGCACTTTAAAACTTAAGAATAATTTACTGCCATAACCCAGAATACCTCAAAAACTTCAAGCTTGATGAACATCTTAAATTGTTTTCCATTTCATCCAAGGCAGAAATTCAGTACTGGATCTTTCAAACGTGTGCATGTGTCTACTCCCTGCCTGAGTACCTACTGCTAGCATATAAAGCAGAAACAGCCAGTATTTAACTTTTAAGAGGTCCATCAGTTTGCCTGGAGCTTGCACTCTCCAAAAAAGGAGTGAAAGATACTTTTAAAAAAAGTTACAAGCAGCATAACAATAAAACAAAACAGAGGGGATACAGCAAAGCTCACTTTTCTTCCTGCCATCAACAAAAGCTCAGAAGCGTTCTGATTCTCTTTCATTTATACCAAGGCCATTTAAATTAAAAAATGCTCCTCATTCTTGCTTTTGCTGAAAAAGAAATTGCTAGCCCTCTTTAGGCATTATAGCCAAGGTTTTCACACATGAAACTCTTTTTCTTTCTTCGAGTCTGCTTCCAGCTTCATTTTTCTGTTACTTCCCTTCCACTGCAGGCTAGTCAGACTTTGCACATGTCAGTGAGCAGGGCACAGGGCAACACTCTGCCATCTTAAGTTCCCTCTGGTGAAAACAACTTCCGCTAAGAAACAGACAAAATTACTGTGCCTTTACATTGTACTAAATTTTTCTATATTAAACTTCACCTTTAGCAACTGACAGGCAAATGCCCATCAAATAAGCACCAGAACTAGTAAGGCAATATAAAATCCATAAGGCTCTTATTAGATCCATACGTCTAACTGACACAAGATGTTTCTGGGATTTGGCTCTTCAGAAATTCAATTACCACCTTGAGCATTACCAAATTAAAACATAAAGACAAAAATGCAGAATCTCAAACTTCTGCCTAAACTGGGTCCAAAAGCAATCAGCTGGAAAGATTAAGCTATTCCTATTAAGGACTGTATTTTTCTCATTATGGCAGTACCTAAATCCCTAATGAAAGGCCAGATGTCACTGCACTAGAAGTCATAAAGAGACTGAAACAGGCTAAAACAAAGACTTAACAACCCATTTTAGTGGGCACAATAAGGCTCAGAGTAAAACCTAAACCCACTATGTTCTAAGGACATGAAATGCTAGAAAGTCAAAGGTCCAAGGACACATTTATTGCTGACAGGTGTACAAAACTTCCTTCTTCCATACAACTGTAGAACAAGACACTACTGAGACCTGGTCTTTTCATTTCGCCATTTCAATGTTCCCACAATAAAGACTTCCTGAGCCATTGAGAGCTACATTCCCACATTTAGAGCTACAATTTAGTTATCGACTGCATCATTCCATTGTTTCATCTGTTTATTTCTCTTCTGGGTATCCAATAACGTCAGCTCTTAAGAGTACCCTTTCAAAAAACCCTGGTTGCAGATAGAAGACAATTTTTTAATAGTGCAACTTCTTCATGTGAAAGAACATCACTACCGAAATGTTAGGTTACTTGAGCCAGGAAATGTAGCTAATTCCAATCTTGTTTTTTGTGAGCATTCCTCACGGACAGGGAGAAGGTCTAGTGTCATGTAACGTAAGCAACTAAACACTCAGCCTAGTGATGAAAGCACAATAAAAACATTTATTATGTCCAGACACAAATGACCAAGATCACCAGCCTAGACCACAGCACAGAAACACAGAGTTGCAAAGGCACACACCTTAAACTGCTGGGTATAAAACAGCAATTCTGAATCTCTGAAGCACATTAAGGCCTGAATTCCTAAAATGAACATCTGGATTCTTGCACCTACCAGCTCTTGTTTTCCATTTGATAACAGCTGTCCTCTAAAAGCCTATGAAGCACAAAATAGGCAAAGGGACAGGAAAACTGAAGACTAAGCAGCTCCAAGCACACTGCAACCATCGCAGGCAAAACACAAGAGATCATTTTAGAAGTTTAAGCAGTACCTATTTGAAATAGTCTTGAATTCTTCAACAATACCCATTTTAACATGTTTTCTACAGAGTTTTGAACTTAAAAGGATACGGCAGAAGAGCTCCACAGCGAACAGACAAGATCACCCAGGAAGGCTGAAAAAACCAAAAACCAGCAGACATTAAAATCCTTGGACTACATGCACAAAACTTGAATTCCCTTCCAAGTTCATGCTATAGCCAGTTTTACTATGTTTCCCAGCTTTGGAAGTCTAAGTGTTTCACACTGCGCAAAGTCTGCAAAAAAGATTTTCATTTATTTAAAAGAGTTCACATAAAGACAGCTCAAAAGTTGTGCAGCAACCCTCTTCTCTCATGCCATTTACAGTATTTATTCATCCTCTCCCTTTTTGCAGTTTTTGCTTGTAAGAAGAAACAATTCAGATAACACTCTACAGTCATCACCAAGGAGTGAAGAACGTAGCCTTACACAGATGAGTTTTCTAAAGACAGAACAATGCTAGCTGCTGAGCAGTGAAGGCCCCTACCCGACAGTATTCTGGGACAGAAGGGCTCAAAGGGACACAGGGAGGTGGCAGCAAACAGAGATGTAGGACACTGATCCCAATGCAGCAGATAAGGAAGGGCAAAGAGTGACATCACATTCAGTATGAAATTACTTTTCCTCAAAAGACAAACAAAAGAACATATTATAGCAACTATGTTTATGGTATCCCAGTTCTTGTTATTCTACTTCCCTTACAAGGCATTACACAAAAAATGGCTAAAAACACTTAACTTCCAACTCCTCAATCCTCAGGAGAAAAAAAAACAAAAAAGGTTATTTTCCTCCCTTAAGTTTTTATCTTCCTTTTCCCCTATAACTAGCAGCTGCCTTTGCCTCTGTCTTCCAGTCCTTTTAACACTTAGTCTGATCTTCCTGATTACAGATCATGCTGTGATGTTTTCAGGTCAAGCCAAGTGACATTAGTGAAAGATTTGCTCTCATCTGGCAAATGAGTTGGCAGTTACGAAGCAAATTAAATCATTTGAGTGGGATTAGAAAGCAGGAAGTGCTCTCTCTGATGTTGATGTCCTTCCCTCTCCTGAAAATGGCAGCAGTTTCCTCGTTTATAAAGTTAAAATTACACCAAAAACCACTTCAGAAAAAGGAACTAAAAATTAACCAGCACACCCACTATAAACATAAGGGTCCCTAGCCAAGCACCTTTCATTTTGAGAGTTAATTCACAGTTATACACATGATTTCCAAAGTGACAAGTTCACATATTCAAAGATGAAGCCCATAGTTATTCAGTGAAAAATACCTTGCTATTGGAAAGTAGTAACAAAATACTGGCAATTCCAGTGTAAGAAAAAAAAAAGAAGACTAAAAAAAATCTTAAAAACTAAAATAAGGAGGAAAAAAACCCCTAATTTTCTACAAGTTCCTATAGTCCATAATTAGCATAGTACATATATGCAGAATCCACAAAATAATTTTGCACTTTGCCAATTACATGTGTTTAAAAAAACCTTCAGCAATCTACTACTTATTCTAAATTGAGGCTTTCCACTGCCAGAAGCTTCTAAGAACCTTTTCTTCAGAAATACTTCTAAAGTAGAATTAATAGGACATCATCTCACAGATGACTGAAAGAAAAATCTGAAAAAAAAAACCAAAGCAGAACACTAAAAAATATCTATACCATTGATAGATACAGAGCAACAAGGAGAGAACAGAATTGTGACAGAAGCCTGCAAGTCAGGATAAAAGTTTGTGTGACAAGAATGTAAGATTTTTAAAGACACGTTTTATTTGGTCATCATCCAAAAACGAGTATTTTGTTATAACAATGAAGCATCTATGTCAGTATTTTGACAATATCATGGATGAGTTGCTCACCTTTACCACAGGGAGATCAAAAACTTCTCGAGATTCTCCAACTTCCGGATTGTCCCCATCTTCTGAAATAATATGTGAGGCCAGTGCATTGTAAGAAACTTCCTTTGCTTTCCCAGCTTTCAGAAGTTGGATAACCTAAAGCCGAAAAAGAACAGGGAGAAGTCAACAATTTTTAGCAACTTTTATATGAGAAAAACATTACTGTAAGAAGACACAAACACTGGATGGATGGATGGGTGGATGGATGGATGGATGGATGGATATGACCTTCTCTCTTGGCTGTCCTCCTGTAGGTGGTCAGAATTTTCCCTGAAGTTGTCGAACACATTTAAAACCTGACTGACAAAGGTTTACACCTCTTCTATATTTTCATCATTGCATCTGAAGAGCTACTTTTCAAAACAATTAATCTTGGGTTAGAAATTGGAGAAATGCCAAGGTTTTTCCAAAATATTCCTCAAAAAACATATTAAAACAGTTTTCCCTTAGGCAGAGAAAACAAGCTCTTCTAAGTCTTTGTTTTTGCATAGGGTAGCTCTGGAAGTGTTTGAACATACTTTAAAATAAGAGGCTGAATTCTAAGGATTAAGTGATTTAATCAAATACAGAATAAAACTCCAACAAGTAGGACTCATGCTCCTTGAATTAGTTACCCTCAGGAGCTGTAACTGAAGTGCCTCACTGCTCTGTGCTGAGAATGCAGAGCACCTCCCAACTACCAAAGCGCATCTCACTCCCAGTTTTGCAAGGCCCAAACAGCAGATGCTGCTTCAAGAGTTCAGTGTTCTCTCAGCTCTGCTGTAGAGCTCTGTGTGATGAATCCAGCCCTGCACCTCAAAAACCAGGCCTTCCATTTGAATGGAGAAGGTAAGGGAGGAAGAGAAAAATGTTTTAAAACATTATGGTCTAAAAGAGTTCAAAAGTTAAAAATGCCATTTAAGGTCATTGTTTCATCTTCCCTTTATTATTCAGAAACAATGATGTAGAACAAAACTGGTGTGATGCTCATCTTCGAAAACGTACCAGGGACAGATGCATATCCCTGTAAACCTGCTGGGGACATTCCCTTCAAAACAGAATGCTCTGCCCACAACAGTGAACAGCAGAGAGCAAGGCAATGCATCCATCAAACAAAAAATTAATTAATTGGTCCTTAAGCAATTACTCCCTATCCTATACATTCACCAGGACAAAGAGACACTGAAAAAGACTCAAAACACAGCATCAAGCTATTTTACAAAGCATTTCTGCCAAGCAGAAGAAGAGGGATAGAAAATCACCACTCATTGAGGAGACAATTTTGGCACTTCCTGACTGAAGTGCCTGACTTTAAAACTCCATTTAAGCAAACAAAAATAAACTTTTTTTTGGTGCAATGGATGAATATTACCATTACCAATGGATGAATATTGTGCAATAGATGAATATCCAGTTCAATGGATGAATTTTAGAATATTTTATTCTAAAATAACCAAGAAAATTGATCATGAGCTTGCTGCTCTTGTAATCACTGCCAGAAACAGGAGTGAATGTTTCCATTTTGCACACCAATCCCCTAAATCATGATACACCTTCCTGCCTGAAATCCAGTTAACTGTGAAGAAACACAGGATGCTATCATTCCAAAGGGAGAAGCTAAATCCAAATAAAGCACTTTTGAAAACAGAAGGTATTTAAGAACTGTCTCAGCACATGAGCTCCTTGTCTCACACAGCTCTCCCTGAGTTACAATCCCATTCAACTGCTCATTTAGGGGAAGGCTAAAAAAAGGAGTGAACGTCATGAAAACTGAGAACACAAATCTGACAGCATCAGAAAGAAGCTATAAATAATGTGCTAAAAGTATGATTTTTTGTTGCATTACAGAACTTGTGCAAAACATCTGCTTATACAAAAAGTTACAATGGCTTCATGTAGTAGTTTAAACACTATAAATGTGATACATAATAAGGCATTTGATTATTTTATGTGTCACGAAAAAGTCTCTTCCTAATTTAGCTCATGTCATCTTCAAAACTCCTCTCAGAATACACAACTTCTTCAGATTAAGTAGTGCCTGGACTGAAAAGTTGTATTGGCACAATTGAAGAACTCACTCACACTGATGTCAACCATATACCTGTAACCAGAAAACAGAATGCTGAAAAGCCTGAATATGAACACTGTAAAAATCCTGCATTTTAGGCATTGGTTTATACCAATTAAATGAAACTTCTTTTTTTATGGGAGAATGAAAATTTTATCTTGTTCTCTCGCGTTAAAATCTGTGCTGGAAGAAACACAAGGAATAGTTCAAAGTTAAGAAGTAAGACAATGGGCATAAAATTAAATTAAACAAGATAACCAAAACCCAAATATCCTGTTCAAAGACCTTGTGCTGCATTGCATTAGTTTTTATCTATTTCTAAAGGAAATACTGATTTTTAACTGGTGTTTCCAAAACATGATGGTTGGGATTTTTATGTTTGAGGAAAGCAGGAAGAGCATTTATTAAAAGAGAAAGAATAGCTGATATCTACTCATCACCCTCAGTAAGGTGTGAGGAACAAAATAGACCCAATGGAATAGAATGGATTTGAAGCTGAGAGCCAACCTAAGTCTCCCTAATTTGCCAAACACTTCGGCACAATTCCAGACTTTTGTTTCCCTTCCAATTTATGCTGCACATGCTTTAATAGGCAGTGGGCATGCAATTATTCACCTGAATAAATTACTTTTTTCCCTTTATTCTGGGATATGTTTTGATTAGTGTACTCACTTTTGCTAGGCCTATTTTAATATTTATTACGGTAACTGGTTTTCTGTTTTCTGTAAAACCATTTAGAAATTTAAGCTGATCGAAGTGTGCTCCTCCCCAGAAGATGGAAGATATTCTTTGCAAAATCAAGCTGGTGTCCACGTAAAAAAGCACCAAATGTATCTGCAATTTGTGTATCAGTAATGGGACAAATTTCACCCTAAGAACTGTTTGAGTTTGATTTACAGTTCCTGCATTCTGTCTTGGCTCAAAACACACCTGATAAACGCTCCTCACACTCAGGTGCCCCAGGGTATCACAGAGGACACCCACAGGAGGGTGTCCTGGTCTCAGCAAGGATAGGAGTTAATTTATTCTCAGTAGCTGCTAAGGTTCCATGTTTTGGATTCAGAACAGGAATAATGTTGATAACACACTGATGTTTTGGTTTTTGCTAAGTTGTGTTTATCCCAAGTCAAGGACTACTTTTTCATGTCTCATGCTCTGCCAGTGAGGAGGTACAAAGAAGGCTGGGAGGGAGCACAGCCTGGACAGGTGACCCAAACTGGCCAAAGGAATATTCCACATCACAGCATGTCATGCCCAGTATAGAAACTGGGTGAGTTATCCAAAAGTACTGATCTGGGCTCAAGAATGAAGTCTGCCATCAGCCAGTGGATGGTGAAAAATTGTACTGTGCATCACTTGCTTGGGGTTTTCTTTCTTTCCCTTTTTCTTACCATTATTATTTACCATTACTATTGTACCTTACCTGGTTTTCAATTATTAAACTGTTTTTAACTCAACCTACAAGTCTAATTTTTGAATCTCCTCCCCATTACACTGCGTAGGGGCAGGGGTGAGATAGCAGCTGGGTTGTGCTTTGTTGCCAGCTGGGCTAAAGCCAGTACAGAGGGTTCTCCCAGGAGCTGGCCCCAAGCTCTGCTGAGCTCAGCCCAGCCCAGCTCACCTCCTCACTCTGACCCAGCTCTGCCTCCCAAGCCAGGCAGACGAAAATTCAGTGCACCGAGTATGAAGCAAATCAAAGCCCTATGACAATGACTCTGACTGCAAAAAAGAATAAAATTTAACATGAGAAAGAAAACCAGTTTAAGAGAATGCTTGTCTACTTTCTCTACAAGAAATCTTTTCATTGTCCTCCCATGTCAACACACAATTAAGAACAGGCCTTTCAGGATACTACTCCTACAACAAATGATATACAAGAGTCCTACAGGAGTTTTGCACTCATCCTCATACACATAATACTAACATTGCTGCTGTAGGGTTTTTTGATAAGTACAGGAATTTGTTTTTAGAGCTCTATGCCACTATCAAAAATTTTATGTCTAACGCCTAAACAACGAAATTTTGTGTCTAGATACCTATGTGTAAGAAGTTTTCATCCTGATTTTTAAGTGCATTCTTCCTAGATCTCTTCCTGTATCTCTTTCAGCACAATAGGAATGAAAACCATCGGAACAGACCAGTGCCTGTGTCTCCAGTTCACTTACAGGCTTACGAAGCTCAGTGAGTGCCAGGACAGGAGGCAAAAGGAACCCAACGCTGAGCTAAGACTTTATGCAGCAAATACCAGAGAGGCAAAGACTTCAACTTCAGCGCGAAGCATGCAGTAACCTGCTTGCAGGAAGCTGCCGTCCTAGAACTCTGTACGGCGCACTCCAAACACCTGTCTAATTGGACACGCCACAGAAACTTTGTTTCAACCACCTTCGCCCAGCACGGGTGTTACTCCCGGAAAGGCCCCCTGTATTACCCAGGGCGCTGCTCCAGGGTACGGACAGCGGGCCGGGCGGTCCCTGGCCTAAACTGCACCAGCACCGCACCGGGCGGCCTCGGGGCGGTACCAGGGCCGTGCTCGGGGCCGCGCCAAGGCGGGAAGGTCTGTGTGGGAGGGAAGAGCCAGTCCAGCCCCCCGTGACGAACCTTCCCCATGGCCTGTCCCTGTGTACCCCCACGAAACCGGGCACAGGG